AAAAAAAAAAGAAAACCTCTGCAGTGAACCTCCAGTCTCGCTGCCCTATCCCACCCAAGACCAAGTTCATCAGCGCACCGTGGAGGTGGGGCTGAGGCTTCTGCCACTGTTTCAAAGCACCAGGTGATGAGTGTACAGCCAGCATGGAAAACCCAAATCAGTAAGAAAAGACTGGAATAAGAAAGCAGAAAGATAGAAAAATGGTTTGTGGCCTTCAGCAGAAACCAGTGAACGTTAATGTTTTAAAAACCTAAGATTTAACTAAAGGAGCAGAGTGGAGGAGAAGCCAGACAGACAAAGGGTATATAGGAGTGCTCTTTTTTGTAAGTCTAAAATAATTTCAGTTTTTGTTTTTGTTTTTTTTTTTCAAGTAGGCTTCACGCCCAGCATAGGGCTTGAACTCATCACCCTGAGATCAAGACCTGAGCTGAGATCAAGTTTCGGACACTCAACCAAATGAGCCACCCAGGCACCCTTAAAATTATTTCAAAATTAAAAATTTTTATAAAGCAGGCATAGAGATGAATGAATTCAAGTCTCCCTCAGCAGTACATTTTGATAATTTTTTATTTAGAGGCAAGGTCGTTGTCCCACGAGGATTTGAACATGTGAATTCCAAGAGCCAGCATCACCAAGGTTTAGAGACAAAAAGCTCTCCAGAATTTAGCCTTTTCCGAAGCTTTTTCAATTATTATAGCTCTAAACTAGCCTTTTGGAAGGTTTCTTAAATTGGAGGTAGATATATATATATATATATAAAATCTCCCACTCCCCCCAGAATATCAAACTTGACCCAATTCTAGAAGATTCCAGGCAGGAGCACATCTGTTTACTTGTGTCCCTTTAGAAGGAATGTGGCTAATTGGGGCTCACCAGGGAGCAAGGTTCTGAGGAATGTGTGGTGGCCTTCTTTAATCTCAGCCTCAGAGTTGAGTGTCAGCTTTGAGTAATTCCAGAGACATGTTTTCCTGTGGCCCCTGAGCCCTCCATGTGTGCTCTGAGGCTGGTTGTTTATAGGAAATGGGCCACCTGCTGACAGCCAGCCTGGGATGGGTGTTTACATTTCAAGTGAACTTAATTCAGCATTTTAGGGAAAGCACCTTAGCCAGTGCTTGTAGGTGGTGACCCTCAGAGAGTGACCAGCGAAGGACAGGCTGATTCAGGGGGAGACCAGGGTGCCGTGAAGTAGGGTCTATGTAGCATGTGACCAAAGACCAGTGTGTGTGGCCTCACCAACCCCCAGCTGAGTCTTCCTGCCTCCAGGATTTTGTTGGACAATTCCAAATTTCCACAGCCATTACTTAGCAAGTGCGTGCTGTGTACCAATGGGCTAACTCCTTGTATCATCCCATCTCATTTAAAACTGCCAATCCTATCTGGGGAGGGCTGCATGATCCCTAATTTCCAGTTGAGAAAACTGAGGTTCAGTGAGATAAAGAGACTCACCCAAGGTCACATGGCTGGGATTAGGACTAACCCTGGAACCAAAGCCTGCCCCCTCTACCCACTGCATCTCAGTAGCATATGTAGCTTTTATTGAGCACCTACTATGTGCTGAATGCTTTACAGGCCTTAAGCATCACAGCAACTCCATAAGAAACATATCATGATCCTCACATCAGAGCAGAGAGGACCAAGTGTTGACTCTGACACGAGGTCAAGTGCATGGTCAGTAGATGACAGAGTAGGATTCATAGCCACTTGGAGACCTGAATCCCCTCAGGGGTAGAGACGTGACTACGCTGCTCGCCCCCACTTCCTGGCCCACCAAGGTGATTAATAGATACTGGTTGAACACACGAACCCAGGGCTGGGTTAACTCAAAGTCATTCCTCCCTATTTCTTCCTGCAGGCCCAGAACAGAGCCCCCGCTCCTGAAATATCTCAGTGATACTTATTTTCACAGCAGCCACCTGTGAAAAGATGTTTGAGAATAGGATAGATGGTGATCTTCCCCTGAGCACACACAGTTTACCTCCCAAAGCCTGGAGAAAGAACTAGAAGGTCTTTCATGGTCTCTTCCAATTTTATGAAGACTAGCATCACCATTATTGCTATTATTTCCATCTAGGTGCACAGGCTGGAGTCCTTACCACTGAAACGAACACTCACATCCTTTGGAGATGGACATGAAAACGCAATCCCGAGAGCAAAACTAATAGAGACTATTAGGGGTCAAAATAGTGGCTCACGGGGCGGGGAGGGGAGAAGCTTGTGACTGGACAAGTTATGAGGGGCCTCCAGGGGGTTCTCATGTTCTGTTAACTAGGATGTAGTTCATATGGGTCAGTTCAGTTTGTGAAGCTTCAGCAAGCCATGCAGTTATGGTAGCCCATTTCCAGAGGTGCGTTTTTAATAACAAGGATCAGACGGAATGGTCAAACTCACGGTGGTGGCTGTGTCAGCTTTGAATCCAGCTTACCCCTCCCTAGCTGTGTGGCTTAAAGCAAGGTACTTAACCTCTCTGTGCCTCAATTTTACTCACTGGAACTGGGCCTGCAGGGTCATGAGTACCTAAGCCCCTTGTACTTCATTCGGTAAGAAATTTGAAACCTTCAAGTGCTTAAATTTTCTTATTTTGTTGTTGATTAGCAAATGACATTAGGTTGATTTTTCCCCCCCTAAAGAACACATTTCTGGTTGGTGTATTCTATACACTTCCAGTGTTTCAGAATCAAACCAGAAAAAATACACATAAAGTGTCCACACAGTACTTAGCACACATGTGCACAATAAATGTTAGCTCTTAGCCCTGTTTCCTTTCTTAGATATAAAAAGTCACCAGACAAGAATTTCTTGGGAAGGTGTTCTCTCCTAAGCCCATCATCATGACAGTGGATACATGATGGATATTTCTCTAATCAACTTGTTTTATGGGAATGAAATGTCAGTATGACCTGGGCTTTTTGCATATTATATTTGAACCAACATTGGAAGCATATATTATATTACAGCAAAGAATGTATTCTATAGCAGGGAAAAATCAACATGTCACTTGCTAATTAACAGCAAAATTAAAGAAAAATTTAAAAACCTAGAGGTTTCAAATTGTCCACCAAATGGTTTGAAAGCCTCATATATGCCAGTAGAGCCCCCACCCCTTAACCTCATCCCATTCCTGCTGCTCCCAAGCCCCTGCCTCATGATGAAAACCATGTTACTCAGTCCTGCAGGAGGTGGGCTGCCTTTCCCACCTCCAGGCGTTTGCTTTCAGACTTTCAAGGAAGAGTGAATGGAAATGCGCTACTCTCTCTCCTACTTGCCACCTCCCCAGTCTATGGAGGGCAAATAATTTTATTCATCTTCCAAGGGCCATTTCAAGTCCCACCTCCTCCAGGAAGCCTTTCCTGATCCATCCACTCCCAGCTGAGCCTCCTCAGCTCTCTCCTCTCTTCTCCCCCACCCCTGCTCCCCTTTCTCTTCCAGAAGGAAACTGTGACTATATTATATGACTCTGCAAAGTAAAAGGGTCTTTGCAGATGTGATTAAGTTAAGGACCTTGAGGTGGAGAGATTATCCAGATGGGCTCAGTGTAATTACAAGCGTCATCACAAGGGAAAGAGGGAGGTCAGAGTCAGAAAAGATGTGACCATAGAATCAGAGGTCAGAGTCATGTGACCATAAGCCAAGCAATGCAGGCAACTTCTAGAAGCTAGAAAAGCCAGAAATAGATTTCCCTGCTGACACCTTGCTTTTTAGGTCTGTAAGACCCATTCAGGCTACATCTTCCAAAATGGTAAGATAACAAATTTGTGTCATTTTAAGCCACTAAGTTTGTGGTAATTTGTTACAACAGCCATAGGAACCTAATACGGGTCTAGAAACATACATACATTTTCAGGTTGGTCTTGATGAACTGGTCAAGAGTCCCTGCTTGTATGCAGTGAGTTAGATTTTCTCCAGTGTCTATGTGAATGAGACCTCCACACAGGTGCTACCACTTTACCGTATATGGAATCAGGTGCTAGGTCATCCTCTGGCTGTAGTAGGTATCAAATATTACTCCAGGGGCTGAAATGGTCAATGGAAGGTTTCTAGGGCTAAACCAGGTCCTGGGGAAACCCAGCCCAAGTATGAGGCCTTCTGGACCAGTCCTCCAAATCCGGACCTTTTCTAGAGGGATACTAGCATGGTGGAAGAGATGGTCAATGGGCCAGATCAGCACCTCTTGGCAAGGTGACTGAACATGTCTGAGCCTCAGTCCCCTGCTATGTAAATGAAGCTCATACGGATACTTACCTTGCCATATTGTTGTCTCAAGTGAGGAAATGTGTGTGAGAGCTCACTGCAAATGCTCCTTGTAGCCAGCACACACTAAAGGGCAGCATCCTACTGAACTCACCTTTCCTTCTGTAATACTCCTACATTGACTGAAATTGACCTTAAAATTGACTGTAAAAGTGTCAGCCTGGATGATTCTGCATCTTCTCTTTTAGGTGAAGTCTATTACAGGAGCAAATACCTGAGAAATAATACCTACATCAGATGATTCTGCATCTTCTCTTTTAGGTGAAGTCTATTACAGGAGCAAATACCTGAGAAATGATACCTACAACGTCAACATCGAGGCCAACAGGATTGTGGTGTCAGAGTTTGGAACGATGGCCTATCTGGACCCCTGCAAAAACATATTTTCCAAGTAACTGTCTGTTTTGAATCTGGTCATGCTTTTTTTTTTTTTAAAGATTTTATTTATTTATTTGACAGAGAGAGACACAGCGAGAGAGGGAACACAAGCAGGGGGAGTGGGAGAGGGAGAAGCAGGCTCCCCGCAGAGCAGGGAGCCCGATGCGGGACTCGATCCCAGGACCCCGGGATCATGACCTGAGCTGAAGGCAGTCGCCTAACCAACTGAGCCACCCAGGCGCCCTGGTCATGCTTTTTGATATCCTCGGTGGTCAAAACCTAGCTAGCCTTAGGGGGCCATTATGGATGGATACATAAGATTTCTGTAGAAATTCTTAAAATACTTCGGAACAACCTACCAGCTCTTGGTGTCTCTGGTGTGGGAGACCTTTGGATTTTTGAGGGCCCAGGAGGGTTCAGTTGGTGGCCATCTTGTCCCAGATGACTCACTTCTTAGCTAATTTTGACCACCGAGGATATCAAAAAGGTACCAGCTACCAGCATCCGCTCCTCTGACAATCCTCTGTAGAGTACATGAAAACCTTCACCTGGCCAGGCTTTGCCCGTCTATGGCACACAGTTCTTGATCACTGATAGCAAGAGGCAAAGGGCATCTGACAGATTATTAGGTATTTTTCCATATGGCTGGTAGGAGAGCAATTTGGAATTATATCTCAAAAATTATAAATGCACGTTCTCTTCAGTCTAGAGATAGGCTTGCTCACGTCTGGAATGGCAAACGTACAATGTTATCCATGGCTGCATCATTTGTTATAATGAGGAACTGAACATAACCCAAGTGCTCATCAACAGAAGGGTAGTTAAATAAATAAGAGTGAAGCTGTACAAGAAAATACCAGGCAGGAGCAAAAAAAAGATGGGTGATGAGGATGCTCCCTATGTGCTGAATGGAAAGATTTCCCAGATACCTTATTGAGTGGTGGGCACAGGGCGGAATAAGGTGTAGAAAGAGCATATGATATGCTATGTTTTGTGTAAAAAAGCAAGAAGAAATCTGGATTTATTTTTGCTTGTATGTGTGTAGAGAAAGTGGGAGGATCTGTGAGGTGGGAAACTGGCAAATGAGAGAAAGAGATAGGGAAAGGTTTTTAGTTGAATACGTTTCAAACCATCTGGGCTATGATGACTATGAATGTAGTGCAGGCTTGATGATTAAACTGTTGGCCAGGGAATCAGACCCACTGTCAGTGTCTCCTTCCTGATACTCTTCGGATATAGACGAGTTAGGAAATGTGCTAGCAGTAGACTGGTCCAGAGATGGAAGATTGCTGCTGCTTTTCTGGAACTGACGTCATCTTTCCAGTTCCAGGATCCAGTGCTGGGGCTGGCACACAGCAAGCACTGAACTGGCATTTGCAGGCGGGGGAGGAGCCAGGCAGGGGGGGGGGAGGGGATGGAGGGGGGAGGGAAGGAAAGCAAAACCACCACTTGTCGGGCGGCTTTGCTGCTTCACCACTCACCAGCAGGGGGAGCACTAAACAATACGTGGATCCAGGATCTTCTGATCAAACTAATGATGAGTTTTGCTCTCATAATTTGTTTACTTTCCTTTAAAGAAAAAAAAAAAACAACTAA